TTATAGCTAAGAACAAGGCGTGTTAAATGGGATTTATGTGATGTGTCGCGCCTTGTCTCTTCTGTCATGCATAACATTTTGTCTACAGCAGGGTGGTGACAATTGGACATTTGGGGACACAAAGTCCATGTTTGAATAGTTATCAAAATCTGAGTTAGTTTATCAACTGTCAAATTATGAGTAACAACAATCATGATCAGCTGTATTCCACATCTTGCAAAGAACCACACTGCCACTTCCAATTTACTATTCAACTCCTCCATGAAATGTCGGTGAAATGATAGAAGAGTCAAAACAGTTTTGCTTCACATAATCCAGAATATAACGCGATCTTTGAATGACATTTCCAGAAACGTAATTGCAAGTATCCCCAGTGGAAACACGTTGTTTGTCACTGATCAACTGTCAAAACACGACACGTCTGGTCACTTTTCGTGGAATGCGTACTCCAAACTCATTTTTCTTCAGCCTAACGTTGATCTGTAATACCATTAACATTTTGCTTCTTGATTATTCTGCATTGGTGCTGACATAGACTTTAGTCGCCAGATTCATCGCATGTGACATAATGCATGCTGCTAGGAACCACTCAGGATGATGTTGGGTGGGAAGAGAAATAACCCACATGATACTCGGGTCCAAGGTCAGAGACTGTACACGTGATTTCACCCGGGACATGTAATTTCTCGTAGGCCGTAAGTTATTCTCCAAGTCGTAAATGTTAACTCTATATCTGCAAACAGGTTCGGGTCAGGTAAACTTCCTGTTCAATGTGAAGTTCAAGAGTGGCATCCTCCTCCGCCCTACACTTTTCATTTTGCTCATAATAATGTGTATTAATACTGCACTAAGTCCATCCACTGAAACAAGCTTAGAGGGCTTCATCAAAATGATTAAGATGCAGACACCAAAACGTTGTGAATATAAACTCTAAGAATATGTAAATGGGTTACCCTAAAATGAACTAAAAAGTGTATATACAGTTTTTCACTAACATTCACAGATGTATAGGGCTACATATCCTAGTCAGAGATTTAAGAGGTTTGAAAGTTAAATGGTGATGACGCTTAATGCTGCTTTGAAAGTTCTCTCTCTCTTTGTGTTTGGGGCAGAATGTATTGTTGTTGAGATCGTAATGCTCGGATGGGCCTAGAGTTATGTAGGCTAGACGAATAACATTGAACTAGATCATGTTCCCATGACATCTAAACGGGGGTATAAGTCTCTCTATACATGCTTCGACGAGTTATGTTAATAGAAAAAGAGAGGCATCATTGAAGAACATGGGTAGTCATTTCATAATTTGACATTTTTGACGAAGCAATACTGAATCACGCAATGTTAAGATTTTGTTTGCCTCGACACTTCAGTAACCTTTCTGAAAAGAGATGAAAAGTGCACAGGCCATTTGGAGGGTAATGCGACGGAAACGTGTATTCTTAAATAAACCTGTGATAAGCCATGTCGGCATCCGAGTGACAGAAACATGCAAAGTCTGATCGTTATTGGAAGACAGATTGATGAGCAATAGAGCACACTGGTTTCTGTCTTTGAAAAACTCTTGAGCCTAGGACCTAGGATTTGTGTTCAGTATCTGGTACTCGTCTCTCTACATACACATGGTTTTGTTTAAAAGGCTTGCCCCTGGTTCCTGAGTAACAGTCGGTAAAAATGGCTGAACAATATTAATTCATGAAGCTACTCTTCTACATTGTAGGAAAAATATGCCGGCATAGTGTATATACTTCACTGTCTTTGGTCTGTATGCCAGTTGAAGGTTGGCAGGAATACTTGTCTGCTATATATTTCGATCTCAAATATCAGCATTGTCTTCAGGTCGATCATAACCATATCATAAGATGCAAAAAGGAAGGTAACTTTTACAGTTTAAACAGTTTAAAGTTTACACAGCGACCTTTACATTTCCAGTGTCCGATGGGATATGGACTTTGCAGATGTATCACACAGTAATGTGGATAATGAAACATTAGTATGGAAAGAACAATGCATTGATACTTTATTGATCAAATCTGTCAAACCAAAAGCTAGAACCAAGCATCAGCCTGTGAAAAGAGCCTTTAAAAGGGACTGTCATGAAAAACAAAACAAGATGTTGGCAAACAGAGTAATACTCAATCATTATCCACTCAACTAATAATTTAAAAAATATTCTAATTTGGTCACTTTATTCCAAGGATATATAGTCTACACTTGAAAAGTTACTGAAGTTGTAATTAAAACATGCCCTTAACCAGATATACATGAGATGGATAACGAAAACGAGGCAACAATAGTCTATTCAAGTTGTAACTGTACTATATCCTGCTTTACCCAACTAGTGGTCATTGTTGACCAGGGAGTGGTAGGTCCAAGAATCGGCCACAATTTTATACCCACTACAGTTCGTGACAGTTCGTGCATTTTCGATATCGCGAGATATGGGTGCATGATACCCACATAGTCATTGAAATGGTGCGTTTTGGCGAATCGTTTTTTATGTTGCGTTTTTACTCGGCGCTTCCAAAATGGGATTCAGTCTGACCTTTTCCCTGTATGACAATTGAAGCCCCCTTTTTGCTGGAGTCCTTTATTCAACAAAATAAAAGAAGTAAGCCAATCAAGTTATTCATCAGCAAGAATATAATCAAATAAGAAGTTCCCACAATACTTACAAATCAATATTTATATATGGATCCGAGGCAGTTGTTAGTGCCACTGTCACTGGATCGAAACTATCTCGTCATGACACCAGATGCTGGTTCCAAAGATATTTTAACAGCCCCAGAATACATAAATAAACAATCTAAGTATGAACAATTTGTCATATAGTTTTAAATCAAAATAATGCATGTCATCATCCACTTTTTTTAGAAATTGTTAAATTATATCAACAAATCTATAACACCACTTCTTATCCCATGCATGGAGAATCTCACCCAAGTGTCTTTTCATATCAAACATATCTTCACAAGTCGATAAAGGTTTAAAACTCCGAGTCTTAATACATTGTATGTTAAATATGTTACATATCTTGCATCTATCATCAGACACTAGGGTGAGATTATATTTATCATCGAACATCATTCTTTCAACTTTTTCAGTTTGGAGAAAGTAATAAGCAGTGTCTTAAGTGTAAAAAAAGTACTGCTAACAGCGACAGTAGCAGAGCCTTTAGTGATGTCATTTGATTGTGACGCCATGGTAACAACAACGCAACAATTGTCTGCAAAGCATTGTGATGCAATTTCTACAATGTAGATTTTGCTTTATCACACCAAAGTGGTATCTCCTGTGGGAGTCAGTTTGGGATGTCATTCAAAGTATATTTAATACTACCATGGTGTTTATCGCAGAATATGTGTTCTTTTAATTCGGCCGAATTTGTCACTAATCGCCAACACCTTAGGAGATGTTGGAAATCCAGCTGGGGTCCATATAGGTAGCAAAGGTGCTGTAAGTCCCCATTGCCCCAAGCATGGTGATCAGGCTTCAGTTGCTGGCGATTTTTTGCCCAATTTTATTATGTATTGTTGCATGTAGTGATATATAATTTTATGGGTTTATACTAGTTTTTTAATATTAATCTGTGCTATACTAGTTATTTCACTGTCCTTTGTTGACATTACGTATTAACTATGTATAACGTTTGATAGTCACGATATGGCTGACATACTTCCGATGTGACTTTAAATTTAAACTCATGTAATATTGTTTTAATTATTCATTCATCTATTTGTAACATTCACTATAATTCATTTTTGTACACACAAACAATTCAATAGCACTCCGTAAAGGCTGTATACGGATCGCAATTTTAGTAAGGCAAGAAAGCAGTAACAGTGAAAACGTTTCTGTAAACACCAAGTCCAGTAGTTAGAATGCCACTGTCTCTGTACACAACAAACCTTGTGAGCGTGTCTAGTGCTGCTCAGGCTGCTGGTACCAATTGCACGACCACTGAGTTATTTACCAACTTGAAAAATGCTTTTACTGCCTCAATTTTATTCTGTTTTCATTTCTCGTGGTTGAAATCAATGTAACCTTTTAGAAAATGAATATGTTCACACTGAAAAACTCCTCGGATTTCTGTTACTTTCATCCCCTGCTCAAGAAAGAATTGAATGTTCCTGTCGCGAGAGACATACTATTGTTGGCCAAACAGGTTTGGCTCCAGGATCCTCGCTGGTTCGCCTTTTATACACAGTGTAATACATTCTTCGTATGTATCAGAGGGAGGGAGAATATGACAGGTTACATGCATGGGAACGCTTTCAATTAACGAGTGAGATAAACTCCCCTGAAAAATTAGCGTAAGCGGACCAGCCTGTTAGATAGTCTACCATTAAAATATTTCAATGACAGTTTATTCAAAGGACGGCTTTTCCTCCATTAAACCTTGAAATATTTGATGGGTGACAACAAACGCTGGTGAATCAGAGGATACGGGTGGCTGCAGGCTGCAGTGGTGTTAAAAATTCATGGTAACGAATATATAGTAATATGTAATACTATGTGTGAATATTAACAAAACGCTTAGAGAATCCATCAAATATATAAATACGAGTTGATGAAAGTTTACAACTGTTGAGACTCTTGTGTTGATACATTTAATAGATTCTCTATGTTAAATTCACACAAATTTACAACTACGACTTTCAGTCAAACCATGAGTTCCTATCCCGACTACACAGGAAATCACTGACCGTCTATGACCTACACAAATAGAATAAGACTGCCTAGCTCTATGGATTTCTGTTACTTTCATCCCTTGTTCGAAACAGAATTGAAAGTTCCTGTCCCGAGAGACATGCTATTGTGTGTCTAACAGATTTCGCCCCAGGATCCTCGCTGGTATACACAGTGTAATACATTCCTCGTATGTACCAGAGGGAGGGGGGAATATATCAGGTTACATGCATGGGAGCGCTTTCAGTTAACGAGTGAGATATACACCCCTGAACAATTATCCTAAGCGTTCTGGGCTGTTAGATAGACTACCATTGAAATATTTCAATTACAGTCTTTTCAAAGGGCGGCTTTTCCCCCATTAAACCCTAAAATATTTGATCTTTTGAGTGACGTCATTACCCGACGCAACAAGCGCTGGTGATTCCGAGGATATGGGTGGCTGCAGGCTGCAGTGGTGTAAAGTAACATGGTAACAAAAACATTCCTATATATTATATTATATGTGAATATCAACAAAACAGTTAGAGAATTTATCAAATATATAAACACAAGTTGATAAAAGTTTAGAACTGTTGAGGCTCTTGTGTTGATACATTTAATAGATTCTCTATGTTAAATTAACACAAATTTACAACTACCATTTTAAGTCAAACCATGTGCTCCTATCCAGACTACACACCCACAGTGACGGGAAATCACTGACCGTCTATAATCTGCACAACTAGAATTGCCTCTTGTCACGTAGGCTACACAACTTGTAACTTGGCACAAGCAACTGTGATAAAGTCTTCCTATGTACCACCGACCGTCTATAGGCTACACAAATACATGTGGAATTGCATCTTGTACCTTGGCGCAAGTAAACATGGATACAGTGTTCCTATGTACCACCAACCGTCTAAAGCCTACATAGATACATGTGGAATTGCATCTTGTACCTTGGCGCAAGTAAACATGGATACAGTGTTCGTATGTACCACCGACCGTCTAAAGCCTACGTAGATACATGTAGAATTGCATCTTGTACCTTGGTGCAAGTAAGCTGTGATTTGATTGGCTGTTTGAACTCGATTTATTAAAACCAGGTTTCTGATTAGTCGGTCCTGAGGCACCCTCATTAACATCTTGTGTCTGCAGAAACCTTTTTCAAAGTCGGCAACTCACAAACTGAGACACATTGAATATACTGGCTCCTTTCGCTGAGTTCTACAAGCTTCTAGCATGCCAATAGGCCTTGGCTGTTCGTCACTTTGTTGGAGAAACATTCCTATTCTGATCACAAATACTGCATTGAAGCAAGCATCGATAGCTAACGTGTTTCTGTAAATAATGAAAATCTACAAAGCTAAAGACCTCAGAGCGATTTGACGACCTTTCACTAAAATGTTAAAATCACTCATGATCCACATCCTCGTGCATATATCAATTAGGAGATAAACCAACTGTTTATCAATGTTGAGGTTTCGAACTTCGATACGATTCCTGTAGTTGTTTAGAAATTAAACATTAGAAGTTAAAGAATCGGAGTTGGAAATTTTACATTGAATTAATAAAAGTGACAAAACCTATGTCCATCATTAACTGATAGGGCGGGACATCCTCACACGCATGACGGGTGCTACTGGTAGGACAGGACATGCTCACAGTCATGGCGCGTGCTACTGGTAGGTCAGGACATGCTGACACTCATGACTGGTCCTACTGGTAGGTCAGGACATGCTCACACTCATGACTGGTGCTACTGGTAGGTCAGGACATGCTCACACTCATGACTGGTGCTACTGGTAGGGCAGGACATGCTCACACTCATGACTGGTGCTACTGGTAGGTCAGGACATGCTCACACTCATGACTGGTGCTACTGGTAGGGCAGGACATGCTCTCACTCATGACTGGTGCTACTGGTAGATCAGGACATGCTGACACTCATGACTGGTCCTACTGGTAGGTCAGGACATGCTCACAGTCATGGCGCGTGCTACTGGTAGGTCAGGACATGCGCACACTCATGACGGTTGCTACTGGTAGGGAAGGACATGCTCACACTCATGACTGGTCCTACTGGTAGGACAGGACATGCTCACACTCATGACTGGTGCTACTGGTAGATCAGGACATGCTCACACTCATGACGGGTGCTACTGGTAGGTCAGGACATGCTGACACTCATGACTGGTCCTACTGGTAGATCAGGACATGCTCACACTCATGACTGGTGCTACTGGTAGATCAGGACATGCTCACACTCATGACGGGTGCTTCTGGTAGGTCAGGACATGCTCACACTCATGACTGGTGCTACTGGTAGGGCAGGACATGCTCTCACTCATGACTGGTGCTACTGGTAGGTCAGGATATGCTTACACTCATGACTGGTGCTACTGGTAGGGCAGGACATGCTCTCACTCATGACTGGTGCTACTGGTAGATCAGGACATGCTGACACTCATGACTGGTCCTACTGGTAGGTCAGGACATGCTCACAGTCATGGCGCGTGCTACTGGTAGGTCAGGACATGCGCACACTCATGACGGTTGCTACTGGTAGGGAAGGACATGCTCACACTCATGACTGGTCCTACTGGTAGGACAGGACATGCTCACACTCATGACTGGTCCTACTGGTAGGTCAGGACATGCTCTCACTCATGACGGGTGGTACTGGAAGGTCAGGACATGCTCACACTCATGACGGGTGCTACTGGTAGGTCAGGACATGCTCTCACTCATGACGGGTGCTACTGGTAGATCAGGACATGCTCACACTCATGACTGGTGCTACTGGTAGATCAGGACATGCTCACACTCATGACTGGTGCTACTGGTAGATCAGGACATGCTCACACTCATGACTGGTGCTACTGGTAGGTCAGGACATGCTTACACTCATGACGGGTGGTACTGGAAGGTCAGGACATGCTCACATTCATGACTGGTGTTACCAATAGATCAGGACATGCTCACACTCATGGTGAATGGTACTGGTAGGGCAGGACACGCTAACACTTGTGATGGGTGCTACTGGTAGAGCAGGACATGCTCACACTCGTGACGGGTGCTACAGATGACGGAGGACATGCTCACAGTCGTAACGGTGCTACCGACAGAGGAGGACATGCTGACACCAATTACGGCTGATACCGACAGAGCAGGACATGCTTACACTTGTGATGGGTGCTACTGGTAGAGCAGGACATGCTCACACTCGTGACGGGTGCTACAGATAGAGGAGGACATGCTCACACTCGTGACGGGTGCTCCCAATAGAGCAGGGAATGCTTACAGTCATGGCGGGTGTTACTTGTAGGACTGGACATGCTCACATTCATGAAGGGTGCTACCAATAGAGCAGGACTTGCTCACATTTATGACGGGTGCTACCAATAGAACAGGACATGCTCACATTCATGACGGGTGCTACCAATAGAACAGGACATGCTCACATTCATGACGGGTGCTACCAATAGAACAGGACATGCTCACATTCATGACGGGTGCTACCAATAGAACAGGACATGCTCACATTCATGACGGGTGCTACCAATAGAACAGGACATGATCACATTCATGACGGGTGCTACCGATAGAGCAGGACATGCTCACATTCATGACGGGTGCTACCAATAGAACAGGACATGGTCACATTCATGACGGGTGCTACCAATAGAACAGGACATGCTCACATTCATGACGGGTGCTACCAATAGAACAGGACATGCTCACATTCATGACGGGTGCTACCAATAGAACAGGACATGCTCACATTCATGACGGGTGCTACCGATAGAGCAGGACATGCTCACATTCATGACGGGTGCTACCGATAGAACAGGACATGCTCACATTCATGACGGGTGCTACCAATAGAACAGGACATGCTCACATTCATGACGAGTGCTACCAATAGAACAGGACATGCTCACATTCATGACGGGTGCTACCAATAGAACAGGACATGCTCACATTAATGACGGATGCTACCGATAAAGCAGGACATGCTCACATTCATGACGGGTGCTACCAATAGAACAGGACATGATCACATTCATGACGGGTGCTACCAATAGAACAGGACATGCTCACATTCATGACGGGTGCTACCAATAGAACAGGACATGCTCACATTCATGACGGGTGTACCGATAGAGCAGGACATGCTTACACTCACTCGTGACGGGTGTACCGATAGAGCAGGACATGCTTACACTCACTCGTGACGGGTGTACCGATAGAGCAGGACATGCTTACACTCACTCGTGACGGGTGCTACAGGTAAAGCAGGACTTGCTCACATCCATGACGGGTGCGACTGGTAGGTCAAGACATGGTCAGTCATGACGGGTGCTACTGGTAGGTCAAGACATGGTCAGTCATGACGGGTGCTACTGGTAGGTCAAGACATTGTCAGTCATGACGGGTGCTACTGGTTGGTCAGGACATGGTCAGTCATGACGGGTGCTACTGGTAGGTCATGACATGCCCACACTCTTGACTGGTGCAGTCGCCAAAACTCATTGCGTATAAAATCCAAAGGTGATTACAACAAAGTGCCAAATAAATACTGAAGGAAATTCATGGATTGGTGTTGAATGTTGTTGGCTGTCACTGTCAGTCTAGGCACTGATCAATTCGATATACTGTCTCTTGTAAAAACTTTAAACGTTAAAATGTGTCGTTCATACGCTCTCGTCCAACAGAAAAGCCGTTAATCATGTAGCCTCACATTCAACTATTTTGATCGACCCGCTTGACGTGAGCCGTGAGGAGCCCGATAAATACACGAATGTGATGCAGTAGTGGCAGATTCATTCCAGATTACCTAAGGATATTTTCCCCAAAAGTAAATACTCAGGGATTCATGATTTATCACAATAAAGAAAAAATATAACAAGGCGTATAACGTTTATTTTTAAAAAAAAAACATTTTCTAAAATTCTATGTTTTAATGTAACTTCTTATATGATAATATACATAAGCATTTAGGAAATAAAACACAGCATTCAAGGATATGATTTAGTCCATTTATATCAATTGTTTCACTAATAATAAACGATTATATTATACTGTTCACTTACTAACTGGCAAATGGTTTCTCGCACACTTAAACAATTCTTAAATCTACAGTTTCGTGGCGACATTACATGCACAAAGTTTATGTTCACTATGGTAATCAGCAAACAAAATAACTTTCATACCATTGCTTAAGTTTCGCATTCAGATAAAGAAGAAGAAGAATGTGCATTATTGGAGATTTAGAGCTTGATGAGAAACTAATAATCCATTCGTGGATTTTTCTTCCCAATTAAGCTGAAAAACCGTGGTACAGTTGAAAGGGTGGTGAGGAAGTCTAGTGGTTAAACGTACGCTCGTCACGCCGAAGACCCGGGTTCGATTCCCGACATGGGTACAATGTGTGAAGCCCATTTCTGGTCTTCCCCGCCGTTATATAGCTGGAGTATTGCTAAACGCGGCGTAAAACCATACTCATTCATTCATTCATTCGTCCTGAATCACAGTGATACAGATGCAAGGTTGGTGCGGACGTATTGTGGTTAAAACGTTGGCTTCTCACGCCGAAAGCCCACTTTCATTTCCCCACAATGATACAAAGTGTGAAACCTTACTCACTCACTCACTCACTATAACTGGAATACTGTCCAAACTCACTCACTGATAACACAATGTGAACAGTGACCTGAATAGCTGCCATTGACGTTTTGCGACAAATGCGCATCTCCAATACGTATGACAAGCTTTAAGTTTCCCCTTATCAAGTTTAAACAATATTTACTGATCAAGTTAGAAGAGATTTGACTTGCTTTGTTTGACATTTCAAACATACATTGTGTATAGATGGGCGTGTGCAGTTGCTACAAAGTCATCCTAAATCAGATGAATCGCAGTAACATAATATAGGCTATTTACATGTATGCAACAAACAGAGCGCTAAATTGAGCACCTGACATTTTGTCCTGCTGTTTTCACTTCCTTGTTAGACTTGCGGGTAAACAGGTTTTGACGAGCGTCCATCGATGTGTTGCTGTTGCCTAACATTGTGACACCAGGGGCATTTTCATTTGACTTACAAGTTTATGCAAGGTAAATATAGTATTACATATTCAGCATTGTTTTAGTCCTGGGTTATAATTAATAGCTGAGAACAAGGCGTATTCAATAACAATTATGTGATGTGTAGTATCTTATATGATGTCTCTTCTGTCATGCATAACATTTTGTCTACATCAGGGTGGTGACAATGAGACATTTAGGGACACAAAGTCCATGTTTGAATAGTTATCAAAATCCGAGTAAGTTTTGCAAGACGGACTATCAACTGTCAAGTTATGAGCCCCAACGCCAGAGACCGTAAACGTGATATATCTGCAGGTTTTGTGTATGATCCTATTTCGGGTTCAGGTAAACTTCCTATTCAATGTGAAGTTCAGTGTCACGTTCTCATCCGCCCCACACTTCTCCTTTTGTTCATAATAATGTGTATTTATAATGCCCCATATCCATCACTGAAACATGTTCAAAGGACCTCATCAAAATGATAAACATATAGACACCAAAAAGCTGTCAAAATAAACTCAAAGAATATGTTTATGAGTAACCCCAAAATGAAGTCAAAGTATATACGCAGCTCATCACTAACATCACAGATGTATAGGGATAGAGATACTAACGAGGGATGCGAGCAGAGGTTGGAAAGTGTTAACTGTTGATGACGCTTAATGATGGTGCTGCTGCTACCAGCATAGTGTATATACTTCAATGTGTTGGGTCTGTATGCCAGTTGAAGGGTGGAAAGAATACTTGTCATTTGTAACCTTCTCTATCATTCATTTTTGTACCCAGAACAATTTTACGTATCGTGAAGGCTTCAAACAGATCGCCATTTTGGCAAGGCAAGAAAGCAGCAACACTGAAAACGTTTCTGTACACACCGGGTCCTATAGTTAGAATGCCACTGTCTCTGTACACTACAAACCTTGTGAGCGTGTCAAGTTGTGCTGGTACTCATTTCTCAATTGTCTCACTGCAGTTTCACCAGAACGCACCGGTACCTTGCTGCCGGCGTGTATACAGTAATCAGCTTGCTCTTTTGAGGTTTAAGTGTGTCACAGGGAATTAGGCTCACCTTGCTTTTATTTGAACTGAACATAATAGTGGTTCTGACCTTGTATTTGTTTCGTCTCATGTCAAAACCGAATATAGGCAGCGTGTAGGCTCTGTGGAGATTTATGTGATGTGAAACGTATTATAGGAGGTCTCTTCTGTGAAGCATAACAACTGGTCTGCAGCCCCATTGGGACATGAATAGTTTTCAAAACCCAAACCAGTTTGTAAGGCAGACTATCAACTCTCACATTATGAATGAGATCTGCGCGATAGAATTGAAGAACGGTTTGGATTTTGAAGGCCATGTGGAGGTTCACATGCTTCATGTGTCGGACATGGTGATAACAGTATCACTTTTTCGTAAACACCTGTTATAATCACTATTTGATTGTGATTCATAAATGCATGCTCATCCTATAGTCGGAATCGTTTAATCCACACTGCTTTTAGCAAAGATTTCTATTGAATATGGAAAGGATTTTGTCGCTTTTTATGTAAGAAGATTAAAACACTGTTTCGAATTCTAAAATTGAAAGAACCGATTTAAACTGTCGTTCTTATAGTGCGTTAAAATATCAGGTTAGAATGGTCAGATGGCTGTACCTAATGCAGCCCACTAGTCATGAAAGTCATGATACATTATTGTAAAGATGACAAATACATGATTAGCATCCACAATGGCATTTATTGATATGAAGATCTTGAAATGGGGTTCTTAGATTGTCACCAATTTAAAGAAAGACATTCGTCAGAATTGGACGTTCTGTTTTCAGGTGGCAAGTTGGCAGTGATGAGCCAGAGAACGATTTTGGTAGTGACACTTGTCGCATATCTGGCAATTGTCACAAACAGTCAGCTGACAGGTTGGTAGACAACATAATGGATGTAACTCATTTCAAAAGAACGAGTAACTGATAAATGCTGAGTAACCAAATATGACTGTTACCGTTTGTAGGTATTTAGTCTTAGATTGAAAAATTACTTTGAACAGCCTCGTGAGATGAAGCACAACGCTTCATTTAAACAGATTTCTCTCCTCATTGATTGAGGTTTTGTTGAATATTTAAGTTGAATATTTGTGCATTATATATATTAATATATTAATAGAATGCATCAATAGATTTGTCACTTCAATCGTAAATGTTACACTGTTACTTTACAAATACTGTATCTTTTAATTCAAATGTCTCCCTACAATTGTTAAATTTCTTGGTGTCGTCGCTGGAGTGTGTTAATACATTATGACGTCACAGTTGTAATTTATGACGTCATCATAAGTATCACGTCATATATGTCAGATTAGTACTATGTCTGAAACTGATATAAACAAGATGATGGACTGACGTGGACTTTTTTATTTTATCATATATTACATGTATATATATATAATGCACAAGTTTTAAAAATATTCAACTTAATATTCAACAAAACCTCAATTAACTCTGTTTTAATGAAGCGTAGTGCTTCATCTCACGAGGCTCTTCAAAGTAATTTACGTGATACATATAAAACATGTATTGAAACACATAGTTTCAGGTTTACAAACATAAAATGCACCACATTTGTCAAATAAGTGAAAGGCGCTGTTAGTAGCAGGTGTTCTGATTTATGTCAATGTTTGAAGGTGGAAGGATTGCGGTCTTTTCAGTTAGGTATACAATCCGTATCTGACAAGTAGATAAAATGCATGTCAGCTCATTCAAAGGCCCCCACTCTTATATACATGTAGGTACAGCCAGCCCTCCAGAGACTGTCCGATACTCGAACGATTAGGTCTGTCCTGTGTGTGTCATCAACCATTGAGGTAACGCTAAATCACACCTCTAGGTTTGTCAGCACCATACCAGTGCTCGTGGATTTCAACGAAGTAGTAAACGTCTGAGATCTGCATCATTTCGGACTCTCCTCCCACATTAAGCTGACACCCCGTGATTTAACTGGAATACTGTTAAAAGCGGCATTTAACCCGACTCACCCACTCACTCCTCTTACAATCGGGCCACTACAGCACATATTCTGCGAGCGTCTCGGTCATTTGCTGCTTCTGACAATCACTATATATAAACTTACAACAATCTCTACTGCCACATACCAATATCCAATTGCGATATGAAAAAAAATTGTCGGAGACCAAGAAATCGTAGGACGGTTGATTGTTGTTTCTCCCATGCCAACGAAATGGACAGGTGGTCGTGGTTAACACGTGATTACTCGCGAGTAATTCCTCCACAATGTATTAATATTAATGTACCTGGTATTACCTTATAGTTCATTATCCAATAACATATACACATGGTTTGATATTCGCGGTGGAAAAGGATGTTTACAATATCGCGAATCCTGTTGAGGGTCATGAATTTTAGTTCTAGTTCTTAGTCTGAGTGACGTGTGACCTACGGCAAAGATCGTTTTACCAAAACATCTGGTCTGAATCCTGAAGGCACTCCTGTGACCCAACCGTTTGTTTAGGTTTAGCAATCAACACCAAGTTCTGAGAATGAGCAGCAAGTTGTCAACGTGAAGTTAATCGAGGAATACAGTGTAAATAATTAACAAAATCAAACAAACTTAATTTAGACAGAGATTTATATATAAATTCTGAAGAAACCAATGTTCATGTTTTTTCTGTCCAAAAGACTTTTACGGCCATATTTGCTTCACCAAAGAATGGAAATATTTTTGGTTTACAGTTAAAGTGTACCCAATTCTTTGAAAGCGAATTCCCGCGCAAAACATGAAGTTAAATTTTAATATCAAGGGTTTGTCTCGATACATGCAAACTTTAGTATATTGTTGATGATATTTTCAATATTTTTGGCAAGAGAATATCGCCAGAATATGCCATGCTTTAATAAGTGAAGCTTACTTTCAATCAACGATTGTAAATCATATGATCTTTCAATTAGAATATTTTGTTTGTTTCGACAAAATCCAATGGTATTTACTATGTCTCTGGCAAAAAATAACCATCCTCGATTATCTGAAGACACATGAACGTGAAAGCAAGAATAGCGGTAAAGATAATAGCAATGGTTCACTGAATATCAGTGATGTCACAAGGCGTTCACGAGAAGGGTAAGCATGTCCGGCTCTAGTGGTAGCACCCGCCACTCACAACATTTGCATAAAAAGGTATCTGTTTGTTGCCTGACGTTTGAATTGCGTCTGTTATCTGTTAAAGTAACGAAAAAACATTTAAGAAGTATGTTCGTTTTGCAACACAGTAGAGGGCAGCAAGTTTTCTGCTTCCTGTGCGACAATATTCGCGACACGCAGTCTAAGGGTTGAAGTTTGATCTCTTTCACAGGATGTGTGGGGGATGTCGTTTTAGTCGTGGATACATCAGCAAGTGTTGGCGCTACAAACTTCAACAATATGAAGAACGGCGTTGAACTATTCATCAACGACAGCTTCGCAAACTATCCAAATGTTCGAGTTGGCTACGTCATGTATGGCACATCGGTAACACAATCAGTAGGTCTCAATGGTCAAGCTAACCAGGCGAGTTTACTCAACCAACTACGCAGCGCCACATACCCTTTTAATGCTCAGGAGAACACACACCTTGGCATCAACCAGGCCGCAAACATCCTGAACACCCAAGCTCGAAGTGGATCACCAAAGCTCATGATTGTCATAACAGACAGTCTCTCTGACAATCAGGCAGCCACCATCACTGCTGCCGCCAATGCAAGGGCCGCAGGCATCACTATATATGTTATTGGAATAGAAGCCTCTGTGACCGGCAGTGCCAGTTTGCTTGATAATTTCCGCCAGGAGCTCCAACAGATTGCCTCAGTTCCAAGCATTGTAACCCGGATTTCTGACTACAGTCTTCTTACTAATTCGCTGGGAAACTTGCCAAACGCCATATGCGCAGGTGAATATTTTTACTTACGAAAGGGCATGATAGTATTGTGATATACTTGAATGAGAGTAAATATTATTAAGCTTATTTTACTGTCAAAAGAGTTTGACCTGAACACTTTGATAATTTCGAATGTTTCTAATCTGAAAAACATTCAATCAAGCAAACACTATACACATGTTACTTTTGTTTCAGTTCAAATCATCAGCAACATGGTAAGCCAGACAGTGTTCACAAGTCAAACCATCATCCTCTCAGTGTCCTTGAATCAGAACGGCATCACCGGTGGAGTCTGGGCGAAAAATGGAGGGGCTCTTCCCAATGACGGCCGCATTTCTGTTTCCGTGGATAACCAGTTTCAGCGTCTAACAATTGTCAATGCCCAACAGAGTGACGCAGCAACATACTCCTTCGCCATTGCTGGACAGTCGAGGTCTGCAACTGTCAGTGTTACAGGTGAGACCCCACGCATGTGGGTGGAATCCTATCACACCGCCCAATTCATGACCATGGAAACTCCCTTTAAACAGTAAATTATTTACCCTGAGGAATGGCATAACTGCAGCTATTCGATGAAACTCTTTACCAATCAAACATTCTGAAAATGAGTTTGGTCCTTTGGTTTTCTCAACTTCTTTCATACTGTTCACTTTACAAACGAAGATGTTTCGTTTTGACTTCATTTAAGCCATTATGTTTTCCCATTACATCTAGACGGTTCAGACGAGTCAATTGTGTTTTGCTGTTTTAGCTGGAATCATCCAATGGACCGTACGTCAGACCAGGACTATTGGTAGTACTGTAACCCTTACGGTGAATTTATTAAACGGCAATTGTAACCAAGGAACATGGACACAGAATTTCGTTACATTTACCCTCGGAGTAGCGAGAAGCTACAGCACAAGCAATAACTGCCGTACACACACCCTGACTATCACCAACGTCCAACTATCTGACCAGGGAACATACCGATTCACCTACAATACACAACAGGTTTCGTCTGAGCTCACTGTTTCAAGTAAGTGGTAACGGTTATTTAACATGATGTGATTAACTATGAACATCGACGCGGTATTGGTATACATATACGTACGTGCCTCTGTCACATTTACAATGAAAGGAATGAGTAGAAAATATAAGGAAGCGACACGTGCAAATTTATACTATGATAAGGCTTGAGCGTAATTATTCTGTCCGACTTTCATTAAAGTATCCAAGAAGCGAGTGTTTATATTTTACGCCGCTTGTATCAATATCACAGCCCAAAGCACGGCGAAGTGATCAAGGAAGAACTGCACACATCTTACCCTTTAAAGGAATCCAGCCAGGTTCCCAAGGTAACAAAAGCCACGTCTTTCATTTCTTAGCTAACCCCAAGCCCTCATGTTTTTTCTTAGACGATTACATGTCCTTACAGCGAGTTCTGCACCGGTCAATGGTGGATTCAACGAGTGGACAGCATGGAGCCAACCCCAATGCAGTGTAACATGCGGCACCGGAGCTACAAAAACTGTCTTCAGATCTAGGACATGTGACAACCCTGAACCAGTGAATGGTGGTGCTAACTGCACCGGTCAGTTCACGGAGTTGGCGCTGACCAACTGTGGCTTGGTTGGATGTCCAGGTAGGTCCACTGACATAATGTCAGCAAAACGAAGTGCAAGAAAACACTCTTTACTCCAATAATAATAATGATAATGCTTAGACATTATTACCCCGGTCAGTAGATCAGTGTGCACTCAACAATTATTCTCAACTCCGTGGGGAGTATACAACCAAAGATGCCTGTGAGTTCTAGAGGGTTAACAACATATCATCTCATCCTGCCGGGTACCCATTCACTACCGGATGAACAAAGTCACTTGCCTAAGGAGACACAACATGTGCTACATATGCTCAGAGTGGGACAGGACCGAAGCATTGTGATCACTTACGCTAATGGCTGATACAGTTCTGCTTTTGTAACAAGGGGATTTCCAAAATATATCAAGTAATCATTACGTCCAGAACCTAACTGAGAAATCAGTTAATGACCTTACAAGATCAATGAATATTCAATGAATCATACCGAAACGCACATGTTTAGGTTTAGTAGCACAACAGGCATACAATGGGTCAAATGCGTGGCAAAAGCAATAAGTTACAGGCCCTGTAATTAATCTAAGTGCACCCACGAATGATCAGACATTTGTTACTGTTGAATTTCTTGAAACCGGCCCGTCTCCTTCCTTGAATCTGAATTCGTTTTGGGAATTGGCAGAAATCCGGTGTTTAGAACTAAGTGGCCTAGTCACATTTGGCACGTCAGGTTAGAAAAGGCCATGAATCGGCCCATATTGCTCTTATATAGGTGCTGTCAGCACATCTTAAAACTATCCTTTCCTGAAACTTCATCCATGGTCATGGTTACACAAGGGCAGATAACTATAAATCGTCCTGACCTCTGCCGACAACCGCTGTTGAAATCTAGGCGCGGCAACCGCTCGATATTTTACTAGCACTTCAATCATTTCCTGCCCCCAATAAATGCCGCATGACAGAAAATTACAACATGCATTTAATTCATTTTTACTCTTTAGGCCCACACGAATCCGTATCAGTAACGTTCACGCAATTTTCTTTGCTTGCAGTAAATGGTGGCGTGACGGAGTGGACAACTTGGAACTCGGGATCAGTGACGTGCCCTCAGACTTGTGGAACAACAGCACAGAAAATTACAGAGAGGCGGCGTACCTGTACCAATCCAACACCTGTGAATGGAGGAACATTTTGTGGCGAGACGCTGCTGGAAACACGAACTGAGTCTTGCGGATTAACAAACGCCTGTCCAAGTAAGGAAGCAACCCATGTATACGAACCAGTGTTACTTAAGGAATTGCCAACGATTATAAATACATAAATAAAATTAAGTACCTGGAATGGCAGTGCCTCTTTAAATGCTGTCACCAAAGATATTTTAGTTCATGCTCGTGCTAGTTAGTATCTAGGTAGAATACTTCGGTTCAGTCTCTGTTGACTGATAACTTTGTGGGTAGAATACCCCGATTAGAGTCTCTGTTGACTCTGATAACTATCTTGGTGGAACAGCCCCGTTACAGTCTCTGTTGACTCTGACAACTATCTTGGTAGAACAGCCCCGTTACAGTCTCTGTTGACTCTGACAACTATCTATGTAGAATACCCCGGGTACTGTCTCTGTTGACTCTGATAACTATCTTGGTAGAATACCTCAGTTACAGTCTCTGTTGACTCTGACAACTATCTTGGTAGAACAGCCCCGTTACAGTCTCTGTTGACTCTGACAACTATCTATGTAGAATACCCCGGGTACTGTCTCTGTTGACTCTGATAACTATCTTGGTAGAACAGCCCCGTTACAGTCTCTGTTGACTCTGACAACTATCTTGGTAGAACAGCCCCGTTACAGTCTCTGTTGACTCTGACAACTATCTATGTAGAATACCCCGGGTACTGTCTCTGTTGACTCTGACAACTATCTTGGTAGAATACCTCAGTTACAGTCTCTGTTGACTCTGATAACTATCTTGGTAGAACAGCCCCGTTACAGTCTCTGTTGACTCTGACAACTATCTTGGTATAATACCCACGTTACAGTCTCTGTTGACTCTGACAACTATCTTGGTTGATTACCCCTGTTACAGTCTCTGTTGACTCTGATAACTATCTTGGTATAATACCCACGTTACAGTCTCTGTTGACTCTGATAGCTATCTTGGTAGAATATCTCAGTTACAGTCTCTGTTGACTCTGGTTACTATCGTGGTAGAATACCTCAGTTACAGTCTCTGTAGACTCTGATAACTATCTTGGTAGAATACCTCAGTTACAGTCTCTGTTGACTCTGATAACTATCTTGGTAGAATACCTCAGTTACAGTCTCTGTTCACTCTGATAACTATCTGGGTAGAATATTCCTGTTACAGCCTCTGTTGACTCTGTGTTAGATTACCCCACGAACACGAACGTCAGATAATCTTTCACTTTTTCTTTTACTGTTTAAACTGATTTTATCAATCTATTATTGACATTTTTCAGCTGTGGTCAATGGCGGTGTGTCTCAGTGGGGCGTTTGGACCAACCCAACTTGTAGTGTGACATGTGGCACCTCTGCCACCAAAGTGATCCAGAGGTTCAGGACCTGCACCAACCCACCTCCTTCACCTGGAGGTGCTAACTGTGTCGACAACTTGGTGGAGAGTGCGGTGGTCAACTGTGCTTTGACTGGTTGTCCAGGTAAATCCTCCTCCTATAAACTCACCATGTTTAAATACATACTGTCTACATTTGAATAGTGTTGCACAGTTTCAATGTTCTTTAAATGAATCAATTCTACTCCCATTGAAAGCCTTGTAACCAGCGAATGACTACGTGTCCATGTACATTGTGCAATGTTATTATGTTTAACATCTTATTTCAGTTAACGGAGGACTTTCCCAGTGGAGCGAATGGAACAGTGCCACAGCGCCTTGTCCGCTTACGTGTGGCTTTACCGCCACTAAAATAGTCAACAGATTACGTCAGTGTAACAACCCCATCCCCGTCTTTGGTGGCCTGACTTGTCCGGAAAGCCTCATTGAGAGCAAGACCGTCACCTGTGGACTCCCAAACTGCGCTAGTAAGGAGATAATCCCTGTTGTTGAAAACTATAACAATAAACATGCAGAAATTTGTATATGGAGAAATATGATAAAATGTATAATTACATTTATAATCATAAATTTATTTCGTGTATTGTAACATGGTACTGTTTTGTGTTTTCTACATCCGTTTAAATAGAATCGTCACATCAAAAACTGAATATTGTTCATTACGATGACAGCTGTTTTGGTGTGTTGTAGCTGCAGTGAATGGTGGAGTTGGACAATGGGCATCATGGAACACAGCATCGGTGGCCTGTCCAGTCACCTGCGGGGTCTCTGCAGTGAAGACGATCACCAGAACAAGACAATGCAATAATCCTCCTCCAAGCAATGGTGGCAGACAATGCCTGGAGAATTTATCTGAGTCCACTCAAGTAAACTGTGGCCTTATCGGGTGCCCAGGTAAATCAACTTCTTTACAAAGTTGAAGCAAATATCTTTCATCACTGTACCTTATAATGAAATAAAATTATATGCGAAATGCTGTAGACTGATGCTTTTGATATAGGTTGCCTTGATATACTTTTGAGATAGCAGATTAGCCATCAAAACTAATTATCTAAAGAATGTAAATGTTAAGAGGAATACTGCGGCTCCACAGCCATATTGCATCAAACTCATTCAAGTTAACAATCAATTTTGAAGGGTTGAGCAGTTTACTCATCCATAATTTACCGATGTATTTTTCAAACCCTATCATCTACGTTACTTCCAGTCGATGGCGGAGTCTCCCAGTGGGAGTCCTGGAATACCAACACTGTGCAGTGCCCGGTTACATGTGGTTTGACTGCGACTAAGACTATTGAACGTATTAGACGGTGTAACAACCCTCCTCCATCTAATGGTGGCGCATCCTGCACACAGGGCCTTGTACAGACGTCCACGGTATCCTGTAATACGCCAGCATGTGCAGGTAAATAATTAAATAAATGTTTCCTCTCTGAAGATAAGATAATACAGATAAGGTAGTGTGTAGTTTCATGGCTTTCAACTGAACAAGGATTTAAAAAGTGCAGATCGTTGTAATGTTTTTTGGCTTATTTTTTTAAATAGGAGAATAACATATTTTTTACACTTGAGAAAAGGGCTGTTCAGTTTGAGTGTCTATGTTTTTTAACGTAATAACTGGCTGAATATCAGTAAATACTTGAGTACCCTCACAACACGTTGTATATGTTTTTATTAGTTGTTGTAAACGGCGGCGTGTCTCAGTGGGGAGCCTGGAGCGACACAGCCTGTGCTGTCACATGCGGAGAAGCTACTAAAGTCATCAGAAGAACAAGAACGTGTACTAATCCACCACCATCAAACGGAGGACAGTTTTGTGTGGAAAATCTGTCTCAATCAGCACAAGTTTCCTGCGGTTTAGTTGGATGTCCAGGTACGTAGAACTCACCACAATATAGTTTGTTGAGGATCCAACTCAAGGAGGGCGGTGGGGTAGCCTAGTGGTTAAAGCATTCGCGTGTCACGCCACAGACCCGGTTCGATTCCCTACATGATACAAAATGCGATGGCTATTTCCGTCGTCCCCCGCCGTGATATTGCTGGAATATTACTAAAAGCGGCGTAAAACAATATTCACGCACTTATTTCTACACAAGGTTTCACTTGATTTTCACTTACTTTTTATTATCGATCTTGATATTTTACGGTCAGTAACACCCGTAATACTGAAACACAAGTTGATAATAAATAAATTCAATTGATATTAGTTAGTGTTTGTATGTTTAGTTCATCCAAAATACTTCTGAAATTCTCATCATTAACAAACACTTGCTTTTACACATGAATGTTAAAGTCTTCAAACGTGTGATTGACCCGTGAAGATCCTGGGTAGAATAGGTCTTCAGCAACCCATGATTGCCGTAAAAGGCGACTATTCTTGTCGTAGGAGGCGACTAACGGGATCGGGTGGTCAGGCTCGCTGACTTGGTTGATGCATGTCATCGATCCCAATTGAGCGGATCGATGCTCATGATAGTAATCACTGGATTGTCTGGTCCAGACTCGATTATTTACAGACCGCCGCCATATAGCTGGAATATTGCTGAGTGAGGCGTTAAACAACAAACCAACCAACCAATCAAACGTGTGATTATATCAAATGTAGGCATTTGTGTTGTGACAAGAATTAGATGGATTCTGATTTCAGTGAATGGAGGGGTAGGCCAGTGGGGTCAGTGGAGCGCGGCGACCTGCACCGTTTCGTGTGGGTCTACGGCCACCTACCAGGCTTCAAGAACAAGGCCATGCAACAACCCCATCCCAGCAAATGGAGGAAGCTTTTGTACCCAACCTATTTCTGAAACCACATTCCTGTCATGTGGCCTTCCTGCTTGTCCAGGTAGGAACAATGGAAATCTACTCACTTTTGTCCATTTAGAATAGAAATGTGTGTATATATATTCCCTTGCTGACACATATTGATGACGAACTGTTAATACAATTACAAAGCTCACTGTTCAGTCCCTTTGTCATGGACTGTGTCTATTGAAAGATGTGAATAGAATATGCTGATTAACTTCAAACATCATGAATATATGCGATGTACATGTCGACTGCTGGAAGGGATATACATTGTTTTTTCAGTTGCTGTCGATGGAGGGGTATCGCAATGGAGCCAGTTTTCTAACCCAAGCTGTTCTGTGACATGTGGATCTACTGCTTCCAAGTTTATAACCAGAACCAGACTGTGTAATAACCCACCACCCAGCAACGGGGGAAGAGATTGCTTAACAATAGGCCTCCCACTCACCCAAACTAATGAAGTTAACTGTGGACTCGTTGACTGTCCAGGTAAAACTTGCACCTACATAACATCCTTTTAAGATTCATCAATGTTGTGTTGATAGATGTCTCTTTTAACAGCTCTCAGATGGACGAAAATGAGTCCACTTGACATTCATCTCATAGATAATACCGATGGGCATATGTTATGTGTGATACATTTGCTGTCTGTTTCAGTGGCTGGTGGTGTGTCTCAGTGGGGACAGTGGTCGATCCCTGCCTGTACCGTCACCTGTGGTGTGTCAGCCGTCAGAGTAATCACCAGAACCAGAGGCTGTACCAACCCACCACCGAGCAATGGCGGAGCCTTCTGTACCGAGTCCTTAAGCAATACAGCATTGCGAAGTTGTGGCCTTGGAGCTTGTCCCGGTAAGATAGCATGTCTGTTATAATTGTGCTCAGCCATCTCTTTTTAAACGATGGAATGTGTGTTGCAGTTCTAGTTTGTTGTGTGTCTCTAACCCAATGTGAATGTGGTAGTGTTTAAACATTTGACTCTCAAACACACTGCTGATAATACGTGTCTTCTTCAACTGGCTAACAATGAGGATAGTGAATAAATTCTTTGCCATCCCCTGATTCTGTCTTTCTATAGGGCCAGTGAATGGAGGACTCTCTCAGTGGACACCGTGGAGTGTTGTGCCTTGTACCAGATCATGCGGAACATTCAACACTCTGGCCACACGTGTACGGAAATGTAACAGTCCCGCTCCAAGTAATGGCGGAGCGGATTGTGTAGGAGACACATTCCAGACACAAACTAGGTCTTGTGGACTGCCAATTTGCGCAGGTCAGTTTTGTTTCGGATTTACTTCATAGATAAGCAACAACACGCTGCATAACCTTCATACACTCGCATTCTGGAACGTACATTGAAAAAGTTCTGAAAAAGTGTGTCTCTAACCCAATGTGAATGTGGTAGTGTTCAAACATTTGACTCTCAAACACACTGCTGATAAAACGTGTCTTCTTCAACTGACTAGCAATGAGGATAATGAATAAATTCTTTGTCATTTCCTGATTCTGTCTTTCTAGTGCCAGTGAATGGAGGACTCTCTCAGTGGACACAGTGGAGTATTGTGCCTTGTACCCGAACATGCGGGTTATTCAACACACTGGCCACACGGGTACGGCAATGTAACAGTCCCGCTCCAAGTAATGGCGGAGCGGATTGTGTAGGAGACACATTCCAGTCACAAACTAGGTCTTGTGGACTGCCAATTTGCGCAGGTCAGTTTTGTTTCGGATTTACTTCATAGATAAGCAACAACACGCTGCATGACCTTCATACACTTGCCTTCTGGAACCTGCATTGGAAATGTCGAATTGGTTCATATCCCTGAGTGCTGTTATTAGATTACAATATATTAATTTTTAAAAAACATGTAATTATAAATCCTGAGAAAAGAATTATATACTATAACACAGTCGACAGTGGTATTAACGTTGGATTATCAAACTATTTTCATTCATATGGTTTTGTTTCAGTTGATGGTGGGTTTACCCAGTGGACTCAGTGGTCAGGTCTAACGTGTACAAGAACGTGTGGACTTTCCGAAAGTGGAACTGTAGTCAGAACCAGGTCCTGCACCAACCCAGCCCCTCAGAATGGCGAAAACAACTGTACCGGATCAACGTTTGAAGCCCAAAACAGGAATTGTGGATTTTCGCCGTGTCCAAGTAATATATATACACACTTTCCAACACAGCATGTTAATCTGTTTCATGAATTTCTATTCATTGTACAAGTGTCGCCATCATTTGTGATATTTTGCTTTTTTTTTTGCTGATACATCTTGGGATTAGCACTGAAATATTCAAACAATAACAACATGGGTACACGTGCACATATGTGCTGTGTTTTTTTTGTCTGTGCCTTATGTAAAAGATCTAATGATTAGACATATGGAAACACATAACAGCAAGATAGCAGAAATATCATGCTCATGTTGTCAGTACAAAGATTGTTTGTATTGCTCACATATCATGAACTACAACTCGCGAGCAGTCGATGGAGGTTTGTCCTCGTGGACACAATGGGATGTTCCATCCTGCCCCAAAACCTGTGACTCAACAGCCACATTAGTTGCAACAACACCCACTCCATGTACAAATCTAAGTCCCCAGTTTGGTGGTAGAAACTGAAGTATTTCAGACTGCTCTTTGGAATTGTGGACTGGCGCTTTGCTCAAGAAATTATTTCACAACGATGTCTGCTGATTTACTAAACCTTTACTATTTACAATGATGATAACAAACTTATATTACCAAACCTGAACTTAATAATCTATCAATTGATTAAAATAACATACCAATCGTCTTTTACTCATTTAAACAAATAGACTAACATGACCTTTTAAAACGACCATAATCTCTATATACGACTGTCAGTACACGTGTGGTAGTATATCTACGTGGTGCCTTTATCTATTTAAGTATTTCAATCAACCGTGCAGGCATAACTAATCCATAAATATTTTAAATATTGTTTTAACTCATGTGAAACTCAAGTCAATCTTGAGAAATAAAGATCATACTCGTGTTGTATGTAATGAAAGTATTGGGCGAATGTATGGGTAGTTAATGTCTGCACCAACATCTCATGTAATTTCATTATGGCATAGATCATAATCTGAATGTTAATGTGTACTTTGTAGCTGTATGTGTCTTATGTGTCATGCTGTTCATTCTTGGCTGTTCATTTCAGCTGTAACAATAAATGTGTCTAGAAGCAGTTATTACTAATTTACTTAGATCCATGTCAAATAGTTTTGTGTCATTTGAAAATATATGTTTCGTTCCTCAGTGTCACTTTACTTACTTTTGGTGTTTGAAATAAGATAATTATAAAGCAAATTCCCAAAACATACATCTACTCTCTAATCTACTCTCTGACAAAGGCCCCAAAACATTTTTACTGTTTCTCCCAGTTAACGGAGGCTTGACACAGTTGACTCAATGGAACGTACCAAATTGCCCACGAACCTGTGGTTCAGCTGCAACCCTCACTGCAACAAGAACAAGATCATGTACAAATCCTGTCCCTCAGTTCGGTGGTAGAGACTGCACATGTCTAGGGAACGTGTTCGAGAACCAAGTCAGGAACTGTGTATTGCCGCTTTTATTTCAATAACTTCAATAGCGAAAAAAATTAAATGATTTTAGAAATATAATGACGCCTCCAGGAACATTTAGTAACATGAGCCTTTGATCTTCTTAACCAGCGGATAGCGGATTATCACTGTGGACACAATGGAGCATCCCATCTTGCTCTGTCACCTGTGGAACGACAGCTTCCCGAGTTGTTACTCGAACCAGGAGCTGCACCAATCCTGCCCCTAGTGATGGGGGTAGAGACTGTACTGGTCTCGGAGCCACATTTGACAGCGAAACGAGAAACTGCAATCTCAGTCCCTGTCCAAGTAATGGCTACCACATATCTTAAATTTTTACTCAGCTCTTTAATGCATAGTTTTATTTAGCAAGAAATAGTAATGCTTAGATATTACATAAACTGAATATTTTGTATATGGTGACATCATCTCACAGTAGTTCGTTCTGTATCCACAGACGATGGGGGCATTCTGATCACAGTGGGATATCCAATATTGTTCATCCCAATACGGGACAACAACATCTCGCACATCAGTAACCTGCCACCAAGCAACGGAGGCAGGAACTGCACTTAGAACCGCGTGGACACCCAAATCCGATACTGTGGACTAACTCCATGTCCAACTAACTTCGAACTATAACCATGTGACGGCAAGTGATAGCAGAAAACCGACAGCACAGTCGGGGGATGCTGCACACAGATGGACGAATTAGGCAATGCATACATGGGGTGGGTGCTTCATGCCAGGGTTATATGAGGCACTGTAGCCGACCATAAACCAGGATGGACCCTTCTCATGTATTGATGGTTCTAGAGGCATTTATGTCCTGGGCACATATCCACCGAAACAAGTGGAAACGGAAAAATACTTTTCTCAATAACCAGAAACAATATTGTCATGTTATCGCTAAAATATAAGTATGTATTGTCCAAAGGTGCTGCTGGTAAAAATGCGTTTTCGCCAGAAGATAAATCGAAAAAATGGGTCATAATGTAATAGACAAACTGATGATCTTTCCAAATATAAAATACAGTAGAATATACATGTACGTAGTTTGCTTGTAGTTTGCTTTGACGACTAGTTTGCATTGACTAGTAGTAACTGACTGACATATTGTCCTTCGCTGTCTGTTTGTGTTTGCAATGTTCTAACACCCTGTTGCACCCTATACTCACAGTCGATGGTGGCGTCACGCCATGGTCACAGTGGACGCTGCCAACGTGCTCTGCAACGTGTGGCGGGGACGCCAACCGTGTGGCGACACGTTTCCGCACCTGCACTGATCCTCGTCCCAGTGGCGGTGGTAAAGACTGCACGGAAGTCCTGTCAGAAACAACGTCTAGGACGTTCGGATTTGGTCCATGTCCAAGTACTTAGTTACGCATGGGAATAAGACGTGAACATGTAGTGGGCAATACCTTTACCTAGATGTGCCTGAGACGCTGTGTTGCATGCAGTTCTCATTTAACATTATTTTTACCCACAGATGCGGCCGTATTGAAAATATGCTTATGCATGGACCTGACACATGTATTTGCAGATGCTTATGTAGATCATTTCAGCGACCCATTCATATAATATTTGTCGCCATTCAGCATCTGACCTAAGGAAACCTTTACGGCCACATTTGTCAAAGGAATTGATGTGTACATGTACATCGTTGTACATTTCAGTAATGCATGAATTAATATTTGCATGGTATCCAATATTTACGCCCCACATGAAACGATGGTTTAAGATGATCTTAATAAAACTAACAGTCTTTGTTTTCTAGAAACAAAAGAATACTTTGCTGTCTTAGATACTTATTGCATTGCTAAACCTGTGATCTAGTGTAACATGTAGCCTTAGTTTTAGCAACATAAAAACAATATTGATAGATAGCTATAGAGAAAAAACTATAATTAGTGTAATTTACAAAGTGATTGTATACTTAATATAATATGATATTTCACATTATGCCGTTACAAAATCCAGTAAAAAATGTAATGCTACTCATTATCAGTCTTACCATTACTTTTTAAGGAATGAAAAATATCAATTATTCCTGTATCATAATATTTTGAGCAAATATGATGAAGAGACTGATCAGCTATCATAAAAACAATCTATTTCTTCCCAGTGGAAATGAGTGAGTGAGTGAGTATGGTTTTGTGCCGCTTTTAGCAAAATTTCCAGCAATATCACAGCGGGGGACACCAGAAATGAGCTTCACATATTGTACCCATGTCGGGAATCAATCCTGGGTCTTCGGCGTGACGAACGAACGCTTTAATCACTAGGCTACCCGACCGCCCCCAGTGGAAATGACCATGATAACTCATGTTTATAGAAAACCTTTTATGAACTAGTTTTGTTTGTTGCTTATTGCAACCTGAACTGGCTGTAGAGTATCGCAGGTAGTGGGTTGTTTATTAAGCTCTGGAAGCTTACAGTGCAGTTCCTGTTTGTTATAGACGACTGTAGCAAGAACGCATGGGTTATACTAATCATGTTTTACTGAATGTTTCAGTTGATGGTGGAGTGACACAATGGGCACAGTGGAGCGACCCCGGCTGTTCTGTTACTTGTGGAACCTCTGCAACTAAGACATTGGCGAGAGCGAGAACTTGTTCAAATCCTACTCCACAGTTCGGAGGAAGGGTCTGCACAGAGACCCTTAGTGAAAACACCGTACGAAATTGTGGTCTTCAGTCCTGCGCAGGTAAGAGTCTTGTTATGTCTGTGTGCCTAAGTATGTGTATGTGTTTCTGCCTCCAGAGAAGGCCACCAGAATATGTGTTAATTGCAGGCTGGGATTCAGCATCTTTGTTTTGTTTTGTTTTTAATATTTGCACAAACAACCTTCTCACTCACGAACAGTTGACGGAGGATTGACACAGTGGACTCAATGGAACATTCCAAATTGTCCACGAATCTGTGGTTCAACTGCAACAAGAACAAGATCATGTTCAAACCCTGTCCCTCAGTTCGGTGATCGAGACTGCTCAGTTCTAAGAAACATGTTTGAGAACCATGTCAGGAACTGTGGATTGTCGGCCAGTCCAAGTAATTAATCTCTGCTTTATTTCAAATGAAAATAACTACTTATAACCATTGTCGTATTTTCAGAAAGAATGATTTGCTATTGACATAATGTTTTTTTTTAAAAAAGTTAAAAATAATCCCCATTTCACACGAGTAAACATATCAAGTCATATTCAATTCGGCAAATACTTCTTATTATTATGAAAATGGTTTTGTTGTTGAAATTAGAAACTGTGCTCTAAACTCATGTTGAAGTAGGGCGGTCGGGTAGCCGAGTGGTTAAAGCGTTGGCTCGTCACACCGAAGACCCGGGTTTGATTCCCGACATGGGTACAATGTGTGAAATCCATTTCTGGTGTCCCCCGCCTTGATATTGCTGGAATATTGCTAAAAGCGGCGTAAAACCATACTCGCTCACTCATGTTGAAGTTATTATAAACTTCCATTGTCGTCTCATTCCTGCATTGACAAAGTGTGCATGTTACGTAATGCGTAAAGAAGTGTTCCCATTGACATAGCGGCAAACATTGGAAGAAGTAATTCTGTTTGAAATCAAAACTGCACAAATTCGTCAGTGTTACCCATCTGTGCAACAGCCCTGCCACTTCTAACGGTGGTCGCGCTTGTTCAGGACTTCTAACCGAGAACGATTCTAGAACATTTGGTCTTGGAAATTGCCCTGGTGCGAAGAAAAGAGTTGTGAATACTTATATACTATCATAGGTTCTAATGGTCTCAATGTTCCTAACATGCCACAAACGAAAAATTGTTTTGTTTTGTGACTCACTACATTGCTTCCAACGACAGTGATAAAATAATGCCACCGATCCCCATGCAGCCATCACTTGTGGGTAGCGTTTCATTCGCAAAAGCTGTAATGCTACACATTGTGTGAGATGTGTGAAATGTGAACAGTCCTGACAACTATCTGGGTATTTCTCTTACCAGTATTTTAGGCAAGGTATATACCAGAATGATCAATAACAGATTACTTCAATGGTCAAACACAAAGGATTTGATACCCAAAGCACAGGCCGGATTCCGGAAAGGCTATTCCACATTTGACCATGTTTTTTTCTCTGCATGCAGCTCTTGCAAAATACCTCTCATTTAATACTCTTGCCGCTCATCTGTTTAAGGATGTTCAAACATTGATGCTGAAATGCATATGCTTACAACTGAAACAACATGAACTATTATATTGGTGTAAGAAATGTAACATTTTATATTCAGGTGAGGACGGGTTGACACCATGGACTGAGTGGGCGGGTGAACCGTGTGTGTTGACAGTCAGCAGAACAAGGACCTGTACCAGACCAACTCCCACCACAGGAGGTCAAGGTTGTTCTAGGGATCTTGTCCAGACCACAACTCGCAGGTGCAGTCCAACTGACTGTAAAAGTAAGTATGGTAGGAGTGTAGTCAGGCAGAACCAAAGAAAAGTCCAATCCCCTGAAATGAACTGAACTCGGCTATTAGGTACGGGTAGTTCCGAGTTTGTCCCCAATAGTTGCAGGAATTTTTGTTTTACCTAAACCACATTAAAAGCTGTATTTATATGCCCCTGTATTAGTATTATCCTGCCCATTTGTCTGCCATGATGCGATACAAAATATATTTGTTATTGAAATGTTCAATAACCGCATGATACTCCCTCATTAGCCGTGACGCAAAACAAAACGTATGTTACTCAAATGTTCAATATTTGTATGTCATATCGTCTCCATTATGATAAAATATGTCACATGTAAACGTGTCAGAGAAACGTTTCATAGATGTTTTGTTATCAATGTGTGACTTTATAACATCATCATGGCCTCAGTAGTTACCGTGCTTGATTATGTCACACGTGTTAAGGTAAATGTCACACTAACTTCCTGATATTATAAAGGAACTTAAATCCAAGTTAACATAAAAACAAACTACCCACAATTCAATTACCCTTATGGCATGACAAACAATTTAATTGAAAAACAAACGCTTGAGTTTGTATTTGTTAGATGTATAACGTTTATGTAAAACTATTCATGTGTACCTCCTTACCTATAAACCATAGTAAGATGTACGCCCCGACTGTTGACGGTGACGGTGACGGTGTGCATGACTGAGTGAGAGATGGACGTTTGCAATGTGAAACGTGATACTTACTGTATATTGCACCTTTTTTCAAGTTACCAACGTATACTACAAAATCTGTACTGTGCTATTGTTTCAATTATGCTGTGTTTGAATGATGACACAATCGCAAGCTACATCTCTAGTAGAAGGCACAACAGACACGCCTTGCCAAAAGATGAAGATTCAACTGTAGAGATGTCAGTCCAAACAGAAATGATGGAGGGTAGCCATCTGAATACGGTGAATGTTATCTCAGATGCTCGTGTTTCTAGAACGTAAGTATTGTGTTAATGTTTTGACCATGAGAGTGGCATGATTACTTCCGGTCCCAGATATAGCCTTCCCTTAACTGTAACATTTCCCCCTGAGTTCAGTACACTAAATGTAATGTGAAAGTCCTTCAGAGGGAAAGAAACGGATAAAACATTCAAACACAAGGAGTCGACTAGTTTAAGCAACACTAGCTATTCGCATGTAGTAGCCCTCTCGTAGTCATTCATCTTGGCTTGAATGAGAGAGTATGTTGTTATGCTATTTCCATCAATATTCCAGCAATATCACGACAGGGGACACCACAACGGGGCTTCCCACACATAAGAAATCAAGACCGGGCCTTCGGCGTGATGAACTAGGCTACCTCACCGCCCCAAGTATCTTCAAATTCAAGTAACATATGGATTTATAGGTAAATAAAAGCGACAAAATCATTTCCATAGGCACACGAAATGTGTCATATATGCATAGTATATTGTACGATTCGGCCTGTATCAAAAGCATGCCTTTATGAACGACAATCAAATCGTGCTGTGGCACCCATCAGAAACACATGTGAAGGCAAGTCAAGTGTTCACCTAAAGAAAACACGGGGACATATGGTACAAGTTAAAATAAGGAATTGCATTCAACTTTATTGTCGCTGATCCACGAAGCAGGGACATGTCCTCCATATGTCAACCATAAAACGTTTCGAATGCCTGACTAATAAAACATGTCAAGGCAGTAAAGGTAAAGGTCAAGACAGCAGATGCAAGCAGATCAAATATGTCTTTTAAGTCTCCCTCGTTAGACAAAATGAACCCATTTGTTAATGTTGGCTTATTACTTTTCAAGCTGAACTAGGATTACATTAACAGATTCAATGGCAGTAAGTGCATGTACAATGTATACCTCATGCATACAAATCACACTCATATGTTAGTTTTTCAGATGAAAAGTTTACTGGCCGTTGAATGTGTTAGTGATGGGTGCTACCGATGGGGCAAGATATACTTACCTTTTCGTGAACAGATAGTATCATCACTGTCTGATAGTGTTTAATAAACACATGCACATTATATAGTCGGAATCGTAAAATCGACTCTGCTTTTGGCAGAGATTTATCGTGGATATGGAAAGGTTTTTGTCGCCTATTTTTATTCAGCAACAAACAAAACAGACACGAATGTGATAAATGCGCAGCTTAAAGTTTCAATTAAATAACAAGGTTTCTGCACACAACACTTTCACCAACAAACAAAGTTATTTAATATTCTGAACATACGTTCCATTTTTCAAATAAAGGTTTTAACCCCATTTCCGTCATTATATTTGTCCATTACATCTAGACGACTGTTACCAATGAATTGTGTTTTCCTATTTCAGCTGGAATCGACGCATGGACATGAATCGTCAAGCCAGGACTATTGGCGTGACTGCGACCCTCACGGTGAATTTGTTAAATGGAAATTGTAACCAAGGAACCTGTACACTGTATTTTAGAAGAATAAGCTACTCCAAAACCAAAAACTGTCGTACGCACATCCTTACTATCACCATGGATCTCACCAGGGAACATAGCGATTCACCTTCAATACACGAAAGGTTTCGTTTGTGCTTACTGTTACAACTAAGAGGTATCAGCTATTTAACGTTATGTTATTGACTATTAACACCTACGCATTACATTCATACAAGTACATACCACTGTAACATTAACAATGAAAGAAAAGAATAGGAACCATTTGGAGCGACAGCGACACATGCATATTAAAGTTAGGATAAGACATTATCGTAATTATTCTTTCTGACATTCATCACAGTATCCAAGTGTTATTTGTGTGTATATTTTACGCCACTTCTAGCAATATAACAGTACAAGTCACGGCGAGGTGATCAAGCAAAGACTGCATGCATCATTCCAATTTAAGGAATCAGGCCGGTTTCAAGTTATCTCAAGGATAACGGGCCAGAATTTTTACTATTTAGCTGATCTCCCAGCACTCAAAATTTTTGTTTTTTTCTAAGACGACGACATGTTCTTTCTAGCGAGGTCTGCACCGGTCAATGGTTGATTCAGCGAGTTGACAGCATGGAGGGTAACATGTGGCACCAGAGCCACAAAAACTGTCACCACATCTGAGACATGTGACAGTCCTGGGCGCTGAATGGTGGTGTTAACTGCAATGGACAGTTCACAGTGAAGTCTTTGAAAGACATTTAGACGTGGAACATATAAGGAAGAGAATTTTATGGATGTCAACTTCTTTATTATGAGGAACACAACGTTTCGGAGTATATGCTTACTCCTACATCAGGTGAATGAATGCTATGAGGCAAAGAGCATATATATGTATATGAAAGAACAACAGTAATAAGAGGTTGACACTTAACAGGGGAAGCCAACAAATAATTGGCGCTGAATAATTAGCAATAAATAATGGAAGCTAACACTTTCTAGTAATTAGCGCAGATAGTTTTGGACAACTGGAAACCAGGACTAAATTATCACTGATTACTAATTGGCAATAGACAATGGGAAAAAGAATAGTAATAACCAAGGGCAAATGGAAGCCAGCTGGATAGTTGCCATCGACAAGGATCAAAGCAATAAGTCCCAAGCACTAGGTAGATACTAGATAGGTTCCCTGGTCACAGTTCCTGGCTGGCCGGTTCAAGGCTGGCTGGTAGGTGTCTTCTCAGTGGCTTGATTATATGTCCAGGTAGGTCAACTTATATACGTCATAACGTCAGCAGATAACAAGGAAACTCTCTGTTGTCCAAGCTTTTATATGTTTCATATCATTAACACATCTAGCTATGGAAACCGTAAATGTTAAGTCGAACAATGATTGCCATACAATGAATCTATGCTATCTTATAATGGAACAAAACATTGAAGGGGTGGTTGCTTGTGTTGCTTTGTGGATACTGAACAAGAATTGTATGATTGATGCACCTTGGCTTTCAGTTCTATTTATGTTAGAAACTTTAACAGTAACGATTACACAATGCGCCTTGCTTGCAGTAAATAGTGGCGTGAAGTAGTGGACAACTTGGAACTCGGGATTCGTGACTTGCCCTAAGACTTGTGGAACAACAGTACAGAAAATTACAGAGAGGCGCCGTCATTGTACCACTCCAACATCTGTGAATGGAGGAATATTTTCTAGCGAGACGCTGCTAGAAACACGAACCAAGTCTTGTATATAGACAAACGAATGACCACGTAAGGAAGCAACCAGTGCACACTACTAAATGTTACCAAATGAATGGGCTTTGATCAAAATGCACACAAGAAATTATACACCTGCATTGGTAGTAATGATTTGACAGATGCTTTGAAAGTTCTTATTAATCATTTGGATTGCTATCTTGGTAGAACACGCCAATTAGTCTCTGTTAACTGTACTATCTTGGCAGAAGACCCCGATTGATTCTACCATCTAAGTAGAACACACCGATTATAGTCTATGTTAACCCTACCATCTTCGTAGAACACTCCGGTTACAGTTTCAGTTAACTCTACCATCTTAGTAGAACACACCGATTATAGTCTCTGTTAACTCTACCATCTACGTAGAACACTTTGATTACAGTCTCTCTTGACTCTATCATCTTCGTAGAACACTCCGGTTACAGTTTCAGTTAACTCTACCATCTTAGTAGAACACATCGATTACAGTCTCTGTTAACTTTATCATCTTCGTAGAAGTACCATCTTATCACCTAAGTAGAACTCTACCATCTTGGTAGAAGCCCCCGATTACAGTCGAAGATGACCCTTTTTTCAAATGGCACATTCACAAAACAGTTTTGGTGTGTTGAAACTATAGTGAATGGTGGAGTTGATTCATGGCCAACGTGGAACACAGCGTCGGTTACCTGCCTTGTCACATGTGGTGGTCACTGCAACAAAGACGATCACCAGAACAACACAATGTGATCGTCCTTCATAAAGCAATGTTGGCAGACAATGTATGGAGACAACTGAAGTAAACTGTGGTCTTATCGGTGTGCCAAGTACGTTTGTGATTCTTAACAGTAAAGGCAAATATCATAATCAGTAGACCTACAATGTATGCTTGGGTTATGCGTGGATAAATGTCAACTGCTAGAAGGGATAAATATAATCAGATCATCAGTTCATTTCGTTTGTGTGCTGATATTCGGTGCGTAGCGGGACTAGTCTGTGCTGTGTACCGGCGCAACAGCCTTTGCATCGCAACAAGTTGAACAGTTGAATGAACGATGACATTTTGTTTTTAGTTACTGTCAATGGAGGTGTGTCGCAATGGAGCCAGTTGTCTAACCCAAGCTGTTTTGACACCTTTGGATCTACTGCTACCAAGTTTATAACCAGAACCAGACTGTGTAATAACCCACCACCCAGCAATGGGGGCAGAGACAGCTCAACAATAGGCCTCCCACTCGCCAAAACTAATGAAGTTAACTGTGGACTTGTTGACTGTCCAGGTAAATCTCGCACCTACTAACATCATTAATGTCGTGTTGACATGGGTCCACTTGACATTCATCTCATAGATAATACCGATGGGCATATGTTCTGTGTGATACATATGCTGTCTGTTTCAGTGGCTGGTGGTGTGTCTCAGTTTTGACAGTGGTCGATCCCTGTCTGTACCGTTACCTGGTTTGTGTCAGCAGTCGAAACGATCTCCAGATCCTGTACCAACCCATCACCGAGCAAAGGCGGACACTTCTCTACCGAATACCGTACATCGTGGATAAGTTACAGCAAGCTGTATACAGATTATGGATTTCCTTTCTGGAATGTGAATTGAAAAAAGTGCTGAAAATACGATATCGCATTGGTTCCACATCCCTGACTGTTATCTATAAGAAAGATACACATATATATAATAGCAATGATGGCATAGGGTGCAACAGGTCAGCATTTGATAATCAAAAGGTATTCACGGCAAACTTGAAGAGAAACTTTATTTCAAGATGGCGGCAACCAATGGAGATATCTAAAATCGATTAGAAACTTTTAATGAAGGAAGTATTGAGACAATGTGTGCGTTTCTGTAAGTTAGTGCAGCTGCCAGATTCAGAGGATCTGCTGTCGAAGGTGTCTACCCTACAAAAACGTCAAATGTTGTTGAAACGTTTTGGGCGAGATACGCGCACCTTTTCACGAACACACGGAATCATCAATATCTGATAGTGATTCATAAACACATGCTCAATGTATAGTCGGAATCGTACAATAGACTCATGACTCCATGAATATGGAAAGGGTTTTGCCGCTTTTATTCCTAAAGCGAGTCCAAATCTTTCAGCCGCTTCGACGCTGTCTTTTCTATAAGATCACCTGAGTATAAAAAGCATGTATTAAAGTGAGATTTGTTTTATATCTTATAGCAGGTGTTGTTAATATATAATATGTCCTATTATTATATTTTATATCATTAGACAAGAAGAAGGCACCCCCTTGATCACCAATTGTAATCCCTTTCTTGCGGATATGTTTCTTTATTCATATCAATAGGAATTTCTACTCGGAATTGCAAAGTCAAAACAAAGTAATTTGACCAAGAAGTTGATCTTAATCTCATATATATGGATGATCTGATATCGTTCAAGACCATCAAAATAGTTCATTTCCTTCCATTTACAGTCCGTTTGATTCCATCTGAGACCGATGAATTGCTCACTAACTCAAAATCTAATAATTGCAACAAAACCAAAATGTGCACAGCGACATGAATTGGACAGACCGACTCTGATGGTTTGTCTCATAATTTTGGACACCCGAATAAAAAAATTGTTTAACAAACGATCATCATCTTGTTGACATTTTTCGCCATCCGTTACGAGGGAGGACCAGTCGCTCATAGAACAGCAAGGTAATGAACAAGCATGTGCACCGTATATGGGGGTCATCTCAAAAGCCGTTTTGGGTGTTCAATCGGAGTCACTGTTGCAGGTTTCTGAAGCCGTGACAGTGCATTCGGAATCGGTGTCGCTGTTGTCCGAACCGCTATCGCCGCTGTCCGAGTCTACCCTGATGATCACCGGCTTGATTAGGGTATGGCCCAATCCACTAAGATCTCAATAATGTCTCTCTATTTCATTCTCAACTTTCTCAACACACTTTCGCCACGTTTCCTGCGTGATGGTGTCTATTGATTGTTGAACCAGTTTCTGTACATCCCGCAGTTTGAATGTTGTATTTTGCCTGGCAACATCCGATTTAATGATACCCCAAATTAGTTCTATTGGGTTTATATCGCAATGATAGGGCGGCAATCGCAAAACTGAATGGCAATGTTCTTTAAGATACTCGTAAACATTAAAGACAAGTGTGGTTTTATTAGACTTAAAAGTATCATTCATAACAGGTTTCGTTGCTTTTTGTGGATATTTTATTGCTTTGTGTGTCAACCATTCTATCATATCGCCCTTCCTACTGTTAAACGTTGGGGCTTTTGTGTTAGGTACCTGAACGCCATGATATGGAGCATTGTCCATGACAACCAGACTCTTGGGGGGCAATACCGGTACCAGTTGAGTTTTAACCCATTCTAGGATTTCCGCTCCGTTCATTTCGGTATGATAGTCTCGGTTGTCCTTGGATGTTGTCTTGAAGACTAGCCTGGTAGGAATCCGGGATGGCTAAAAATGTCAACAAGATGATGATCGTTTGTTAAACCCTTTTTTTATTCGGGTGTCCAAAATTATGAGACAAACCATCAGAGTTGGTCTGTCCAATTCATGTCGCTGTGCACATTTTGGTTTTGTTGCAATAATTAGATTTTGAGTTAGTGAGCAATTCATCGGTCTCAGATGGAATAAAACGGACTGTACTTACCCACCTGAATAAGAAATAAATGAGACCAGTGAGACTGCCTAGCCGGATCTGTTTCATATTTGCAAACACAATAGAGTGTTAATATTTTATTAAAAAATGATTTAAAAAATAATTATTTTTTTAATTTACGTACTGCTGAGGTCTTATTTCACACCTGAATTAATACATCTTCTCCATTTTTATTTGTGGTATTTAATATAACTTACAAGCGCATTAAAATATCCAAACCGGGACTTGCGATCGCTTAGCAATGCATTTGAAGCATCGCTGTTAAAATCGAAATACGCATGAGACGGACCGTAATCGTTTTCTGTTTGTAAACTATTTGAACTGTTAACAAAGACGTGTAAGCGTTCTAAAGTCTGGTTTCCGCCGGATGGGACATGTACAGGGGTGGATAACTGCTTTAACGGGAGTTCCAGCAAAGTGTTATTTTCATTGCAGTGAACATATCACGTTTCAGTCACTGCTGCAAAAATATCACTTTTCTAAACTTCAGAAATCTCGGACTTTCAAACGTTGGTATGACAGTGAGTCAAAAACACATTCTCATGATAAGGTCGAAATCGTACAATGTCGCTTTAATTTCTGGCACGTACTTGATCGGCACGCATTTCTCATTAACTAACATAATGATAACGGTAAGAAGTTTAATCAAAATAATTAGGAAAGCACAAGGCTCAGGGACGGCTGCGTATGGGGAAAAGATTGATACTTTCACAAGTAATATATTCGTCAAATATGCAAACTATTAAACAAAATAATTTGACGGCTTTCCAAATTTCTCTTAGTAGAAGGTGACCTTGGTGTATATTGCCAGATAATTTATGCATATATATTTTTCCGATATTGCTTTTTGGTATTGCCGATAATGTTAAGGTTAGTCTACTTTCTCATTTGCACATGACACCTGAGCAGTGATATTATAATGAAGTCGACAATGTTCTGTTATTGTAAACATATTAATGTCAAATTCCAAAGTTCTGATGTCTATTTAGACTAATGCTCAGTCTCTAAGAATATATAATTTTAATATAACTCCATTTAATTTGAAGAGGAGCCCCAGTGATATTGAAGATTCAGAGATGAACCTGAGGAAAATATAGACTTGCTTCATATAGGGCTTTTGCATTATAGCAAGAGCTGAGCGAAAGGCAAAATAATACGGTTCAGGGACTTTGAGACAGACTAGTGTCTATTCTGTGGATATCTAGACTGCCACCCAAACCGATCCAAACGGGATCCGAAAGCTAATTGTATGGTACATAGTCATATGGAAGCGGACTAGAATTATACATTCTATTGTGCACGATTGTGTTACTATATTTACATTTAAGTCAGGGAAATATATATCAGATATACAAAAACGCCTGTTACTGTTATAGAGTCATCCTCTCATTTAACCTTTTATTGTTCATAGTATCAAATTTTAATCAACAATGTTATGAGCAGCAATTTAAATTAGGTTTCTCGGCAGGATAAGGCCAACGGACAAAAACGATATCCGTTGGGGTCATATGCGGATAGAGATGCAAATATCAAAGGTCAAGTAGGGACTACTTTTATTGTTTATAAACAAACATGGCGCCGCCATCGTCATTCGGCGATCGAGTCAGAATTAACAACCGGGAATCTGGATAAACTACAGGGATATCTGCTATCATTATCAAAAGAACAGTCTAATATACTGAAAATCAGTGTCTTACTGTGACGTAGCTTAGGCATTTTATAAGTTTTGGCAACTTTGGAGATATAAATTTCGAAACAATTTTTCGAGGGCACCAGGCCTAGCCAAGCGGGATCAGTAGCCATATCTGTGCTTGTAGACCTCTGCGGCTTGGAACCTTCTCCACAAATTAAAATAGTTGGATTTGTTATGTTTGAATTGTGACCTTGTTCCGTTTTGTCGCTGTGTGTACATCTGACTACACTTCTTAACGTTATGACAAGACAGACCGACTGTCAACAACGTCTGACCGTTGCCGTGACGTCTCATAGACTAGGGTTAGAGTAGCTTCCCTTTGACAAAGGGCAGTTACTCCAGCGGACAGATGGATAGCCGCGAAAGGCAACTAATAACAATTGTTTTGCGTATATGTTGCTTCGCCACTGTATGAGAAACAGATTTCAGTTGGAACTATATTGGCTACTGTCACTGTCCGACTGACACATCACTTACCCTGTGACGTAATTAATATTAATGCGCGCATTCCAGGAAAACTCACAATGTTTCGGTAATGTTTGTGAGAGAGGGAAAGCGATTTTGAAGCACAGAATTAAAGAATGACATTGAATAATAAAGAGGTTATCACGCTTGTGTGTTTTGGGATGGTAAATATCGCCAATGCTCGCTAAATACAATGTTTATTCCTAATGCAGGATATTTACCATCCCCAAGCACACTCGCGTGATAACCTCTATATACACGTTTATTAGTAACTTTCAGCAGTTATGCTCTTCATTTAATAACTTTGTTTTCACAATATACATGAAGTGTTACCCGACCCGTCTGTAATAAATACTTAAGGGGCAGTACATGTACTCTGGTGTTACTGAGGGAAGCTTACTGGTAAGGGAGTTATACCCTGTTTTTTCTTGGTAATCCTGTTATAACTTTATTCTTATTTAATGGCAACCCGTTTTCTGGATCACAACTCCAAGAAAATGAATGAGTGTGTTTTAACGTTACAGTCAGTCAAAGGCCAATGTTGTGTGGTTTGATGACACACTTCTACCAGGTCGAACGTTGTGGTCGCAATTTACCTGGGAATCTTGTATAACCATTCGCGGCACTGGCTACCTTAAGAGGATCATAGTTGCTAATCTATCTCCAAAAACCGTCCCGCTGAAGATGACTTTTCTTTATGATAAATCCATAATACTGTTTAAAGCAGCGTAAGACCCAACTCACTCACTCACTCACTCACTCACATTATTGCTTATCGTAATTTTCTTGAACTTCTTTATTCCATTGTAAAATTCTGGGCTGCCTCTCACTGATGTTTAGACAGAGGAAATCTATTGTGTTATAAGAATCTCTGTTGACTGATATTTAAGATGTACATATTGTAAAATATTTCCGATATTTTAACGTGTAATTGGACGTATACAATGCTACGCGAGTATGAGATCGGATGCAAGAGGGCGGATATAGTCATAGTTCGATGGATGTTCGGGGGGCGCATGGATCCACGAGGGCTTACGTAGACATTGTGAGATGGTTGCAGTGATATGTTGGGAAAAGGTGAATACGATGCGTGTGCGCGTGGGGATGTGAGGGTTGGCGTACATGTAGTGAGATGATTGCGTAAGTAAGTTAAGTGGTTGAGGATGTATCTTTGCAGATTTGGGGTTCACAGGCTGGGTGTGCATATACCGATGTCTTTTTAATGACTTTAGTGTCTCATAGGTCATAATGGCCGGGCATTCTACATATCTACCCGAACTACATAGCATTTGTTATGATGTACAATTCGTCTTATCCACACACACACACGCACGCAGGCGCGCACAACTTTCTCCTCTTCCTTTGTTGAATAATGTTTTACATTTGGAAAATGATTGGATTGCTCTTATCTGTTTGAACCATTAACTAACTGCCCTTATCCCCTGCAGTTTTCTGTCCCATATTGCCAAGCAGGTCGCCCATAAGGAACCACGTGGTTGTTGATGAGCGAGGGGAAAGGTCGCCTGCCCTTCCACAGTTCAGTTGTATACTGTGCCTAGCATAACATGTTGTGAATGAGTAGCCTTGCTGTGGCCAAACATTTTGTAATAATTTAGCAAACAGCAAGTAGAATTCAGTTTTATGCCATCTTAATATATTAGTTGAATCCTACTTGACCAGTGAAGATGTGGTTTAAAGTAGGTCTGTAACAACCCATCCTTGCCTATGGAGTCGTCCATGCTTGTCGTAAGAGGCGACTAACAGGAACGGGTGGTCAGGCTCACTGACTTGGTTTAAGGCATGTCATCGTGTCCCAATTGCGTAGGTCGATGCTCTTATTGTCAATAACTGGATTGTCTTGTCCAGACTTGATTATTTACAAACCACGGTCATATAGCTGGAATAATGCTGCATGCGGCGTTTAACAGCAAACAACAAAACAAAAGCACATTGAACACATTCCAACAATGAGAAACTACCAATAGATATCGTAGCTCTGAACGATCTGCGACAGGTTTACGATAGTTTCGAAAATCTATCTTATCTTAACCTTAAGATATCTTATCTTTGAACATAAGTTGTTAAGATTTATCTTAGCTACGATCGTTTCAAAAATCTAGGCCCTGATCGATAATGCATAGAACCGACCGGGAGCCATAAACCCTTAGGGCGCTATCTTGTGCCCTAAGCGCTAACATCCAAGGCTTTAACAGTCGCGTGTTGTATTGTTTGTTGTTTTTGTTTTTTTGTTTTTTTTGGGGGGGGGCACAAAGGCGACTTTCCTTTGCTTACGTTTGCACGCGCGCCACCTGGAACCTGCCATTGCTGCTTACATCTATATTTTAATTCAGATATACTCAAAAAAGGAAACGCAATACGGATATTTTTGGCTATGAAAGCAAAATTAGAAATGAAGAGGTTTAATGTGTTAATAGTATCAAAGACAAATTTTCCTGATCAAAATGATCACAACAAGGGCATACAAACCATTAGTCGAGAAACACGTACGATTGTGGAAAAAACCGCACCCAGTGCATAAACAAAAGGGTCTTGGAGTTGCGCGTAATGTACGTGCATCAGCACTAAGAACGGTATTAAAGTGCAGGGTTTTTGATTGCCTGGCATCTGCGTCAATCGAACAGTGACAGTTCAACAACGCGCCAAGATTAACAGAAGTGCAAAGAAACAACGTTATTGGCCGCTTGCAGACAGAGGAATTCCGATCAGCTGTAGCGCTCAGCACCATCACAAGGCTACAGGATCGGTTTCAACAGCATGGGTCAACACGTGATGGGCCAAGGTCGGGACGACCAAGCGTAACCATACGCGCCAAAGATCAATACATCCGACTGCGCCACCTTCGTTAAAGGACGACCACAGCCACCTCAACCGTATCCCGAATACCCGGACTGCGCAGAATCTCCGACCAGTTCGTACGAAACCGTTTAAGAGCAGCAGCTCTAAGAGCAATAGTGAGTGAGTGAGTGAGTTG